TACCACTCTACAGAGAAATGACCCAGGCTGGAAATTGATCTACTGGGGAATAATTTGAAAAGTGTAATCTGATCTCTGGAAGGCCCTAGAAAATTACTATTTTATCTTGCTCAATGGGATTAGTTGTCCAAAATGAAGAATATTCTCTTCTTGTACTATCCAGTCTTCTGGTTGCTCTCTTTCCACTACTTCTTGTTCCTCTCTTCTGTGACAACAAATGGATCTGGTGGCCAGCAGCATTGATCATTAACACCAGGCCAGACACAGAAACATGCTCAGAAGTTGGCCACAGTTAAACAAAAGCTGATGTAGATGGGAATGTTCTCTAATAGGAAGAAATAATAATTGGTTTCACAAGGAGATTCTGTTGCTTTCACATTATAATTTTCATGAAGCACTCATCATTTATTTATTACCATAGGAGTCGTTTCCCTGATGGATTCAGTCATTTTTCTGATGGGTCTTCAGTTCTCTTTGAATTATTTGTCCTCTGAGACAGGGCAGCTCTGTGGCCAAGGACAGAGGGTGTGGCTATCTGGGAGAATGTGGCAGTCAGCAGGGCTGACTATTGGCAGGGGATGGATGGCAAAAAAGTATGTGTTATGGGTGGGGTGGGGGGTACAGGTGTCTCAACCAAAGTCCTAGAACAGACCCACCTCTGGACCCCATATTAGTAAGGGAGCAAGAGGGCTGAGGTGATTGGGAGAAGATGATAGAAAATTAAGGAAACAGCTCGCTCAGATTGGGAGAAGAAAGGAAAATGGAAGAGTATCGAGAGGGAATGTGTTTTGCTGTAGGAGAATATTTCATATCTTTTGTGTTGGTGGTTTATATAAGCTTTTTGGACTCTTGGGCCATGAATGCTACTGCTTGGTGGGGTGGGGCTGGGTGGGGTCCAACAAAGTAATTGGCATGCAGTTCCTGACTGATCCGTTCATAAGCCATCTATCCATTTCACCCAATCTTCCCATTCATCCATCATCTATCCATCCACCCTGCAGCCACTCATTCATCTATCCTGCATTAGCAGCACCTTCAATGGTGGCATACCCTGGCATTAGAGTGACCAGTATGTACTATACACACCGTTAGGTGCTGAGGAGGTGAAAAATAACGTCTTGTCTCCCCCTGCAGGAGTTCTCAGCCCAGTGCGAGAGATAGCTAAGTGGACCAGTGGTCATAGTCAGAATGAGGAATACCCTGAGAGAGGTGAGCGCAGTGTGTCTTGTTTGGACTTTGAAAGGGAAGAGAAGGTTCTCTGGAAGAGGTGCTGTTTTAGCTGAGTCCCATACCATGCATGGTTTGGGGAGCATCCTTCTCTCAGTAGAGGTTCTGGCATGACTTCTCTTCCTATTTTGGTGTAAGACAAGTCCACGTCCAGGCTTGGGTCCTCTCTCCTCTCATGTTTGGGGGTGGGCAGTTTACTCCATTTGCTTCCCCTTCACTCATCCTTGACCACTGCCTCTCTTTCATTCTCCATTGTTTCTCTCCCTGCTGTGTAGAGACATGTTCAAGTCTCTTTCATCTTAAAATTTTAATACAACAACAGTAAAACCGTTCCTTGGCTCTACTTTGTGGGTACCCGCCTCTCTTTGTTCTTCCATTCACATTGAGCACACTTACTGTGGACTCACCTCTTTGAATGTTGGCAGACAGGCTTCCACTCTGTGGTCAGTTCTTCCCTGTTCTTTAAGCTGCCTGAAGAGTGGTTCCAGTGTTCTGTCTTTAGCCAGTGGGTGCTCTTGACCTTTGCTTACCTGACCAGTGGGTGACATCTGACTCAACATCCCATTCCTTCCTGAAATGCTTTCTCTTGTTTTTGGGACACAAGTCAGGTCTTCCTTCTGGATGGCCCTTGATTCTCCATGTCTTCCTTGGGTGCCCCTTAATTATGTGTCCTCAGCTGCTCCTGCTCTCATGCTGTGCTAGTCCCAGGAGCTAGTCTCATGCTGTACCCACCTAGGCCTTCAACTACCACCTGTGCATAAATGCAGCTCAGGGTACTGAGGACCTTTAGGCTCATTCTCCAGCTGATAGCCAGAGACTATCTGGGTGTTCCCCAAAACTTGGACTCCCTGTGCCCCCCTGAGCTTCTTATCCTTCTCCCTAGACCTCCTTATCCTTCTCCCAAGGTTCCCTCATCATCCTGTCCTGCCATCCTGATTATAGACCGTCTTAAATGTCTCTCTTCTAATTCCCTCGCCTGATCAAGTCCCCATCCATCTGACCACCAGGGTTTGTGACTGTGTTCTTCATGTCTTTCAAGGCCCTGTCCATTCCACTGCTTCTCTTTCCTCTGGTTCACAAGTTCTCCCCTGGATGGTGGCAGTAGGTACTGACTCTCAGACAGGTGCTGACCTTGCTGTCCAAGAGTCATATGAAGAACTCTGTAAAACTGCAGGCCATTGACCCCCTTCCACCCAAAGAGAGCCTGGTTTAGCTCATCTGTCTTTTAACAAAATCGCCCCATGATTGCGAGTTGAAGCTTATGGCCTGGGAGTCAATTCAGATGATTTCCCATCCCCTGCCTGGTCTATATCCATCAGTTCTCCACATGGGTACCAAAGAGATTGTTCTACAATGCAAGTCTGATCTAATCATGTTCCTGTACAAAACTCCATACTTGTCCCCCATATCCCCCTCCCATGCATCAAGTATAATCTCTGAGCTAACACATAGCCTCCAACTCTTTGTCTTCCATTATCTACAGGGCCCCACCTACAGCCTTGTAGAACCATCTCTTTCCTGAAATGTTCTTAGTAACTTCCCCACACCAAATCTTCTGACCTGTACCCATGGTGCCCTTTCTTCTGTCTGGTTGGACCATATCTGCTCATCCTAAGGATTCGGCTGGAGATCTTCCAGAGGTCTACCCCATCCTTTGATCAATGGCCCTCCATTGACTGATACATATACCCCACCTCCACATTGCAAAGCAGAGACTGGTTGTATCTGACTTAATAGCATGAGTGAGAATGACTTTCCCCCCAAGTCTGCCAGAAATATTCAGACCACTCAGATTTCAGGGCTCTGAACAAATGTGCTTTTTGGCTTTCTAGGCTGTGGTGAAATCATTGCTGCTGATTTGGCCACCTCAGTCCCACCATTTAAAAGGATGCACCATGAGTTTGCCCATCTCTGCAGAGACTGGAGGAAATCGTTGGCGCTCATCATTTAGGAAGCACTTTCCCTCAAAATATAAACATGAAGCCATTATTTAATGCCTTTCCAATACCCCTCTGTTAGGCTGGAACACAACTTAAACTACTGGGGTACTCAATCCAGATATAGTGGGAGCAGCTGCTGAGAAGGCTGGATGATGTCTCCTTTGTAAACCTGTCCTCAGTTTGATAAGATATCAGACCTGCTCCTGTTTAGGACTTGTGAGTGACAGATGTGGATACTGTCTTTTCTCCTTTTTGGCCATTCACTCATTCCACAATTCCTCATCCAGTGACTTCTGGACATCCTGTCATCACCATATCTCCTGTGTTGCATGGTGTGTAGAGTCATGATGCCAGGTGGAGAGGAAAGCAAGTGAGTCTTACACCAGCACACAGGAGTTGGAGTGGGGAAAATTTAGCCTTAGCTGAGGATTTTTTGAAAGAACAGGATATTAAATAGGATCAGATACCTTATAAGTCTTATATCGGAGCAGCTGCTGGAACCAGGTGTTTCTAGGCAAGGCCTTCCATAGAGCCAAAGCAGTCACAGTCTCAGTTAATGGTTCTTGTGATCACGCTGAAAAGATGTCAGACTTGTCAAGTGTAGTAGCTGGCATGAGTTTATTAGAAGGGATAGGAAAAAGGAAGAGAGTGGGTCCTCTCAGAAGAGAAGAAGGGTGCACTTCTCATACTCTCCAGTTTTTCTGTGGGATGCTGTAAGTTTTCATACAGTCCCAACCAGGTCCACCTCTGCCTTTTGACTGATAGCAGGATTGCATCAGACTTTCAAGTCCCCGTTGCACATGGTCTTACTCCCACAGAGGGGAGGTTTTACTATTATAATTACATGCTAAAGATCCAAGATAACTCTGGATCACTTTGGCCCATGCTGACTGGTTCTAATTGGAACTTGTTCTTACAGATTTTATGGCTAAGGGGCTTTACTTCCAATTATCCTATCTCCCTGATTTCTGAAATCTGGTCCATGTAAGGGTCACAAAAATCCTCCTGTTCAGTGTAATTTGTGTTCTTATGGGCAAGGAGGAGCCTTTTGGGTCTGCATTTCTTCTGCAGGTTGTTTGCTGAGGACTGTAGCATGTCTTATTGGCTTAAGCCAGGCAGGGCTGCAGGTGATTTACTTTTTAAAAGAAAGAAAATGGGGGTCAGCATAGTATTCAACCCAGTTTATAGAATTATCCCTTCACCTCATGTT